CAAACATATACGATTAAATCATGACAAAACATATTACGATTAATCATGACAAAACCATTTCTGTCAGATTTGTAAATCTTAGCAAGGTCGTAAAAGCTTTTGTTGTTTCTTCTGACTAAATGCAACATAACCATATCTCTGTCTTCTTCATTTTCCATCTCTTCAGTATAAATCATATACTTATAGTTCTTTCCTTTCCTTTTGGTACCGAACGTGGTATTCTTTTCTGAATGCTTTTGTCTTTTGCTTCAATGACTTCATCTTTTGCTTCAATGACTTCATCTTTTGCTTCAAGCTTGTTCTCTAGCTCTTCACGTTCTTGTCTATGAATTTCATCTAACATCATGAAAATATAACAAGCATAACGAGGTGAAGCCCACATTGCTACGGCATTTACTAAAAGTCTATGAACATAATATCCTCTCAAACCAGGAGCCAAATTCTTGCGATTTTCGTACGGAATCTCTACCCTCGGTTTTCCGAGGTAGCAAACATATGAGGAAATTCTTCTAAAAGTTCTTTTGTCTGTTGGTTTTCAAACCAATGATATGCTTGCTTTGTAGAACGAAGAGCGTTCAAAATACTTTGCATCTGGTACATATCGTCTTTGACCGAACGAATGAGACGTAACTGTTTGTTATACTGTATGTACTCGTATTCTTCATTTATAGCTTCATGGACTATAACTGTTGTTGTGTTCTCTGTTGTTGACATATCTGTCTTTATATTCCGGATAAAAAAAATATTTTATAAAAAACTAACTTTATTTTTTCTGTCTTAAGGAAATTCATGATTTTTGTGCTGAATTCAATAAAAATATATTTTAGGGTAGATGGTTAGATCTAACCCGATATCTACCCTCTTTTCTACCCCAGTTATTTTATAAACGTTTCACATGGTAAACGTTATTTTTTAAATTTTGTGAAAACTCAACGGTTTGACACATGCCCTAAAAATTATAGTTCATCTAACATCATGTAAATATACCAAGCATAACGAGGCGAAGCCCACATTGCAACAGCATTTACAAGAAGTCTATGTACATAATATCCTCTCAAACCGTTTGGCAATTTTTCACGATTTTCATAGAGTTTTGGCGACTGGGGTTTCCCTCCCACCGCTGTTCTTCACTGTTTTCAGAAAAAAGTATGTCTCGCTGTGCTTCGCTCAAAAGTTCTTGTGTGCTTTGGTTCCTAAACCAGTCTTTAGGAAGCTTAGTATCTGGAGCAAAACATGCTGTCAAAATACTTTGCATTTGGTACATATCGTCTTTGACCGAACGAATGAGACGGAGTTGTTTGTTAAACTGTATGTACTCATATTCTTCATTTATGGCTTCATGGACTATAACTGTTGTTGTGTTCTCTGTTGTTGACATATCTGTCTTTATATTCCGGATAAAAAAAATATTTTATAAAAAACTAACTTTATTTCCTGACTTTCACAAAAGACCAAAAATAAACGCTTTACATGTATTTTTCAGCAAATTCGTCAAATAATTTTATAGCTTTATCTATCTCATCCACTTCAAACGTTTCTTTACCTTTCGTGGGAGCACCATACATTTTCTCAAACTTTTCGAGTAGTTCTGTTTCAGCAGCTCTCATATCGTTAACGAACACAACCTTGACTCTATTGACTGTACTGTCATATCTTTTAGTTATATATATGTTCTTCCTATCTTATATTTTTGTATTGAAGTCCTTCGGTTTCTGAACGATGTAAAGTAAGCCTTCACTGCAACGTTCCGTATCGAATGAACCATAAGTTATGAAGTTATATCCAACAACTGGGTCTAACCATAACAAAACTATTGGTATAAGACTTTTGTCTATAAGATATGCTGTAGTTCCATAGAATCTTACCGATATCATAAGCTCAGGATTTCTTGTCAAAATTTTCTGACTAGAAGCAGTTCTAACCCAGTCGTGGGATGTTTTCTTTCCAGATGGAGATATAATGTCTGACAAAGAATATTTGTTGTATTTCTTTGAGTATCTTACGTTTAAATCACCTATTCTAACCAATTTAGTGTTATTGTCTATCTTTTTAACTGTTTCAAACTCAGTGTTTGTCATATATGTTCTTACATACAAAATAAAAAAAATATTTTATAAAAAACTAACTTTATTTTTTCTGTCTTAAGGAAACTCATGAAATTTGGTCATTTTTTCAGCAAAAATATATTTTAGGTGAAGAGGTGAGATCTCACCTGTTTTCTCACCTGTTTTCTAACATGGTCTAAAACACACAAAACTCATGAAATTTGGTCATTTTTTCAGCAAAAATAATGTTTAGGTGAAGAGGTGAGATCTCACCCGTTTTCTCACCTGTTTTCTACCCCAGTTATTTTATAAGCGTTTCACATGGTAAACGTTATTTTTGGAATTTTGTGAAAACTCAACGGTTTGACACAAGCCCTAAAAATTATTTTACTCAGAATTTTGTTGCTGAATTCAGCAAAAATATATTTTAGGTGAAGAGGTGAGATCTCACCCGTTTTCTCACCCCAGTTTTTTCACAAGCGTTTTACATGAATTGTACGATGTATATTTGAAATTCTAAACAATTTCGTAGCTTCTATTTCTTCTGTCAGTATGTCAAAAGTTTTAACGATACCGAAAGTTTCTTTATACTTCTTCTTGACGTCAGATAGAAGGAAATCTTCTGCTGTTGGATAGTTTTTGTTCAGAAATGTCAACATGTCCATTTTATCTTCTGCTGGCTTTTCTGCTTCTTTCTTTAAATCTGCATAGTCGTTTCGCATACGTTCTATCTCTTTGACGGAGTAGTTATATTTCCTCATTGCTGCCTTACATTTTGAACATTGCGGCATCGTTTTTGCGTTATATTCTGAAACCTTACCTGCTAAAACAACTAAGGCGTCAATGGTTTTCTTTAACTCAAAAGCTGCTGGTCTTATTTGTTCGTTCCATACCTTACCTCTTCTATCTTTATCTCTTATCTGCCATACACATTCAGCAACTAACGAAACAAAGTTGTCGTAGGTCTTAAACTCCCGGGTTTTGTAAAGGTCAGAAACATTCTTATATACCATGTCGCAATCTTTGTCCATAACCTTATGGTTGCAATGAAAACCAAGAAACTCATAGTTTACCTTTCGTATGAACTTCTTTATTTCTACTGAGTCAGTTGCTTTGACTTCTATTTCATCGAATTCAGGAATGGTTAGTTTTTGTTGCTGGATTTCAGGTAGTTTAGGCAAATGGTCAATAATGTCCTGCATTTCATAAAGATACTGTTCATTTTCTTCATCTTTCGCACTACAGTCTAAATTACATGTTAAAAGTTCTTGCTTTATCTTCTGGATTTCTGTTTCAAAAGTATATGAAGAAGGAATGAAGCTTTTCATTTCTACTAACATTGACGTAGGATTCATAACTAAAGAGTTTGGTGCTGTTGTTGCTAACATGTTCTTACAATAAAAATAAAAAATATTTTTTTTAAAAAACTAACTTTATTTCATCTGTCTTAAGAAAATTCATGAAAATTCATGAGGTGAGAAAAGAGGTGAGAAAAGAGGTGAGATCTCACCACTTCACCTAAACTTTATTTTTGGGTCCTTTACACTCATTACGATGAAGAAGTTTCGACAAAACATTTACGAAGAAGTCTTGAAAATTCATGAGGTGAGAAAAGAGGTTAGAAAAGAGGTTAGATCTAACCTTCTACCCTAAACATTATTTTTGTCTGATTTACGCTCATTACGAAGAAGTCTTGACAAAACATTTACGAAGAAGTCATGACAAATTCAAGAGGTTAGAAAAGAGGTTAGATCTAACCTTCTACCCTAAATTATATTTTTGGTCCGGGAACAAAATGAACGAGGTCAGGATGTATGCAAATACCTTTGAATTCATTCATAACACCCTTTGTAAGCTCATAAAATGCTTGTTTTGAGGTCGAGCCACTTTTGGCTCCACCGTATTCTTTCAACCAAAACTCAAGAATTTCCCGCATGAATTTTGTATAAAAAGCAACCGTCTGAATTCCGGCGGTTGCTATATTCTTCACAAAACATTTACGTTTAGTTTACGAAGAAGTCATGAAAATTCAACGGGTGAAAAAACAGGTGAGAAAAGAGGTGAGATCTCACCTCTTCACCTAAAAGTATTTTTTCAATACTTTTTCAGCACTTTTCCGTAGTTATATATGAAAGACAATTCGAGATAAAAGTCATAGTACAATGGAATAATATGTTGCACACCATTTGTTGTGAACCAAACTTGAAAGTCAGAGAAACTGTTACTAGGTGGTTCGTAGAATTTAGAAGCAAAGTCATAAAAGTCCTTACCAATACATAGAAAACTATTGTTGCTTGAACTGAAACTTGCATGACACATAACATTTTGAGGGTCAAACACGTTTCTATAAACTGTCAAATCTGCTGGTGGAAGTATAAATTTAAATGGACCATCTGGTGGTAATGGTTCGTTCTGGTTTAGTAACCGAAGAAATTGTGCCCAAGAACGTTTGTCTACTTCCCAAAATAAAAACTCTGTATCTCTTGGAGGGTTAATTTCAATCTTTTGAAATGAAACGGTGGAGTTCATCTTGTCATATTCTAGTTTCAGATAGTATGTTCCATTTAGTAAAGAGTCGTATTTTTCTTGAAATTCCCAATAATATTTGTTCATTTGAGTTTGAAAGTCATTTAGAGTTTTCTCAAGACTTTCGTCTGAACGAACTGTAAAGATCCTCATTTCGTCAAATTTGTCTATTAGACCATCATGACCTTTATACTGCCCATGAAAATATACTGCGAACATAAATGCGTTAGTTCTATTTGAAAACAAAACTCTTCTAAATCCTATTGCCTTTGCATCTGAAGGACTTTGAAGCCAACGAATTGGATAGTCAAACCTGTATACTCGGATGAAATTTCTTCATCTGATATTGTCTACCAGCATTTGTAAAGATATAGTCTAACGGTTTTGTATCTGCTACTTTTGTTCTTTGTTTTTCAACCTGAAGCATTTAATATATGTAAAAATATATTGTTTTAAAATGGTATGCCATATAGCTTCTTGAATTTGTTAAGAAGTATTTGAACGTTTTTCCATCTGTATCTCTAGTGTTTACATAAGCATAGCCCGCTTAGTAAAATATACTTGTAATTTCCTATAGTTTACGCCGGTATAAAAGTAGAATGAGTCTTGTTCTTCGCTATAGTAGTAAAACTCAAACGTATGCTTGCCATAGTCTGTAATTTCAATTGTTTCATCTTCTAGTTCGTCGACAAATTCGAATACAATATCTCCAAATTTGCCTTTGTTCTTATTGTTTTCAGAAAGAGTGACCCAACGTAAGTTTTCAAGTCTATTGTCGTTTCTTATATGGTTTTATTATGGTCTATAAAAGGTAAATTGTTAGGATTCAGTATAAATAAAATGAGTTGCAATGACAACATGTTTAAGATAGTGTTTTCCACCCATACTAACTATAGCATATCCGTCATTCCCCTCCATTCGCTTAAAACTCTTTTGTCTTTTGTTTGTTTCTGACTTCAAATGACTCACAACAGTGAATTTCATATTTCTCATCTAACAAACAAGTTTCCCAACGGTCTTCTCCAACAAACTCAGCGTACATTTCAAATAAAATAAAAAATGTCACTTTTTTAAAATAAATTTTTTATTTCATGCAATGTTCACTAACATCGAAAGGCATGTCCATAAGACGTTCTTCTTCTAACCTCTCTAGTCTGTTTGGATAATTTGCACGTGCTGTTTCCAAATCCATTTCGTAGCGAAGACCAGCCAGTTTGTCATAGACTTTTATGGTCTTCCCTTCCTATATTTAAAATTCTTCGAAACTCTCCAACCATATCTTTGCAACTCTGCTTTTATTCTAGCAGACTTTCTATCCATTCTATATGGGGGCATTTTTATAAAAATAAAAAAATATTTTTTTTCTTTACTTTACATAACCGCCTGCTGCCATAAGTCTTTGACGCCAACCCATACCAGCTAATGAAGGTTGACTTGGTTTAGTTTCCAAACTAAACTTTGGTTTTGGTTTATCTTCAGTTTTTGGTTTTTCTTCTTCTATTGGTTTTTCGTCACTTTTCGGTTTCTCTGACTTTACCTCACCTGCAGGAACAGTTGTGTCGTCAACATCTTCATAAATATCATATGCCATTTGTTTTTGTTTTCTTTCAACTTTTTGTTTTGTTGTAAAGTTTAGAATATTTCGACTCTAAGTCAATGAGATGTTCTTAATGAACTGTTGTCAGTGAAGTAAACTTTTCCATCTGTTGTCTCGAAAGCTCCTTCAGACTTCAATATTTTATTTGTGAGAGTCTGTTTCTTTTTTGAGATACTAGCCGTTCCATTTCTATGAAAAGTGACTTTATAGTTAGGTTTGTATTTCCAGACCTGGCACTTTCTATTATTGAATTTTTCTCTTCATCTGTAAGTTCTTTGACAGGTTTTGACAATGGTTCTGAACTTTTTGTTTGTGGTGTCAAATCTACCGTTTCAACTTCTTCGGTCATTTTCAGGTCAGTAAAAAATTTTAGTTTGGTTTGTTTTCAACTGGTTGTTGTTGTTTTTTAAGTCGGTCTAAAACTTCCTGAGGTATAGGAAGAACTTGACAAACACGTGGTGTAACTGCTGGAAGTCGACAAATCCATCTTGAACCCATTTGTCTCAATGCTGTATTGTTCATTTCATCTCAGTAAAAAACTTTACATTCCCCAAGTTTGAGGTGGTTGCGGTTGGTTATTGTTTACCCACTGTTGTGCATGTTATATCCTCTGTTAAAGAATCTTTCACCTTGGTCCATATAGTGTCCTGCTTGGTTATAGTAGTCATTTGCTTTGTTATAATAGTTTCCTGCTGTCTTCCTACATTGTCCATCCATCCTTGAACTTTTCCTCTTGTTTCAGGATTTGGAATAAGATTTGTTGCATCTCGTGCTACATCCCAACCTTTCTGTACAGTTTGTATAATAGGTTGTGCTTTCTCTTTAAGTATACCTAATGTACTCAAAATCTTCCTTCCAACTCCAAATACACCTCTGGCTATTGTTCCCACTGCGGGCAAAAATCTAGATGCAACTCCTGCTAATGCGCCAAATAAACCCATTTCTATGGTTAAAAAATGACGAATCCAAACAAGGACCCTATGTTTCTAAGGCAACAAAAAAAGCACTCATGATAAAAATCTTTAGTTCAACACCAAATGCTTGGTTTATGGATATCTTGGAAAACATTCCGAGGTATAGAGAAGACGGACCACCATACTGGCTAATATTTGTCGGTCAAAACACAAGATACTGTGAAGCCATACCATTATGGTCCAAAAATATTTTAGATATCTTAGCAGCTTTGACAATATTCGTTGACAAATACCATCCAACAAAACTGACATCTGACTGTGAAAGTTCTTTCAAATCAGATGATGTAAAAAACTATCTGCGTTCAAAAAATGTAAACCAATATTTCATTGTCGACCAAAACCATTCTGCTCTTGGTGTCATTGACGGTTGTATAAAAATGTTAAGAGACTTAAACAACCACAAGGTGGTGAAAGCAAATGAAATGTCATATGACGACAAATATAGACACTTCTCCATGGCAAAGATGAGACAAGTTTTAAATATTTACAATAGCCGTTAAACAAAAAGGTTTGGGAAACCACTCCCCCGAAGAAATGAAAAACAACCCTGACTTAGAGAAAGACTATATATTTAATAATTTAGTCAAAAGGGACGAACAAGAAAGAATGCCGGGCTTCAAACTTAAGAAAGGCGACAAAGTAAAAATAGAAATACCTAAACGCGACCCATATGAAAATACTATTGACTATGACAACAATGGGAACCCGACAGGTACTCACATTCGTGTTCGTAAAAATAGAAGAAGTATACAAGAGAATATTATGAAGTTTTAGGCAAACATGACAAAATGTACACACTGCAAGCAGAAGATAAAACTACTATTGTCAGACCTCGTTTCAAACTTGTCAAAGTTCAAGTGGTATACTTTCAAAGACAGTTCCTAACAAATATAAGACAACTCCTGACGAATATGCTAAAGAAGTTGAAAATGACGACTAAGCAATTCTATACCATGCGTAAACTGTCATGTAAGGTGGCATGTATTCTTTACTTTGTCCCGTTGTTTGCGTATATCCCGAAACGCGATGTGTATGGTTTCCATCTCCCTGAGTGTCACCCCAGAAACAATTTATAGCAAACTGAACGTCGTCTTTAACATCATATCCTTTACCTTTTTTCATTGCTGACCAATCCCAAAATTTATGCTTATGCCAACCTGCTTGAGATGTACTTAAATCTATGTAGTGACTGTGCGCAGGTAAATTTTCACCTGAAATCGTTTTACTTCCTCCTGTTTCCTTTGAAGAGTTTGCACAATACAAAAACCTGTCAACTATTTGTTCCCATGCACCAACACCAAACATTACTTGAGGACCTCTTGCTTCCATAGATGTATAAATAGAACCTACTGGGTTCATTAAATCAAACATATGAGATAATATAGATTGTCTCTTTGAACTTAAAATATAGTGTAACTATTTTCTGGTTTCTTCTGGTTTGTGTCAGAATATTTTTTATAATATAATCTTATGTTTTCGGGTAGGTAAAATCTTGACTATAATATTTATTTTTGTCATCTATATAATAATATACTATCTCGTTTTTTCTATTGCATTATATCTTTTATATCTATAATATTCTAAATATAATGTTTGCTTTTTTGGGTCTACACGTGCGTCAACACCATAGTCATAATAATATGGTGCTGGAGCTGGGTTAGGTAATGTCATATCTGCCATTTCATAAACTCTTAAATATTTCTTTTGTTCGTCTCCATATAAGTTTAAGTAACAGTTGTTGTCTAATGGAACTTTAACTTGTGTACATTATTCTTTATATAGCTTACATACATTTCATTGTTATTTTTCGGAATGAGTTTATACCGTATACCATTTTTTAAGGACTGTACAAACTCCCATCTAAAAATATTTATTTTCTTCATTGACAGAAACATCCCAACAATAGTTTCAATATTTTTTGTTGTTCCTATCAAACTTTGGTATATTTCATTGACATATGTTTTATCTGCTTTATTTTCAAGGCTAACGTTTAAGTCTGTTATTTCAGATATAGAATGTGTATGTCCAACGTCACTTTTCCTGTTTAAGGTTTCTTGTAAGTTTGTAATATTTGCAATGGTATGTGTATGTCAACGGCACTTTTATTGTTTAAGGTTTCTTGTAAGTCTGTTATTTCAGATATAGAATGTATATGAGTCTTTTTAGAATATTCGTTTTCAGCTCTTGTCACTTCACTTGACATTTTATTGTCAACATATGTTTTGTCTGCTAGTTCAGGATGAGTATGTTTCTTTTGTTGCATAAGCATTGTTAGCTCTTTCTTCTTCTTTTGCTATTGCATCGTCTACATATTCTTTGTCAGCTTTGTTGTCAACATCTGCTTTCAAAAGAAGTTCATTTATAGGTTTCTCGTTTAAAGTTCCTTTTGTTGGATTTATACAGACAGTATGGTTCTTATTGTCTTGAAAATAGAAACTCATCTGTCATTGGGTTTAATGTCAGTTTTAAGTTTCCTTCTTTCAATGACTCAGATATCTTAGAATAGTTTGAAAAGTTTGTTGTGTTCTTATTTAGAGCTTGCACAATGAGTTGTCGGTTGTGTTGTATTTCTCTCATAGACGCTGTTTCATTTGACATTTTTATTCTAGATAAAATATGCTTCCAATAGAAAAAGAAATTCAAGAGTTGCTACAACTAAACCATTAGATGAACTTTTTACTAATGTCGGTCAAAAGTTTGAGACAGAGACCGTAAAGCATGAAGGCTATCGTTTTGACTACCCATTAAGATGGCTAAGAGACCCATCTGTCACAAAAGCTATTGGCTTTCGTAGAATGAAGTTTGTGTCTGTAGAAGATAAAAGTTTTCCATTTATTGTAAGGTTTCATATAGATTATATATCTGAAGGGAAACGAAAAATGTGGGAAGAAATTGAGCTAATACAAGTTGACCTTTCATCTTCTCTACAGACTGCGTTAAAAAATATAGAAGATAAAATAAATTCATGTTATGCAAAATATGCTGATGAATATGCAAATACCGAGAGCACACTTTATGTGAGAATTGTATATGACAAACAAAATTCACAAGTGTCATTTCAAATCTACGAAGACAATCCAAAGAAAGACGAACAAATATATACAGAATTCACTGCAATGTCATGGTATTATTTGCAAAGAATGTTAAATCAGAAAGTCAAACTTCCTTTAGCAAATATTTACAGTCGATATGCAAGAGATGAACCATATTTATTTAAAGATGTTTTCGACCCAGCTGCTATTATTGTTCATGCTTCATTTTCTGGCGCTCAAAACTCTTTCTTATGCTTGGCAAATGACTTTTACGAAAAAACCTACAAAGTTATATGAACCGCCGAGTGGAAGTATTTCAGACTTTCAAGTATGGTTTACTACAGATGGAAGAAAAAGAATAATTCCATTATACCATGCGTTTTACTTAGAACTTAGTTTCATATACAACTACTATCGAACGGTAAAAATATAATTTTTAATACGGTTGAGGTGTTGGATTTGGTTGCCAACTAGACTGTGGTGCAGGTTCAGGCTGTTGTATAACAGGAGCTTGTTCTTCTGGTTCAGGGTCTTTAGGTATAATACCAACAAACTGACCTACTCTTTTACCAATATTTTTGACTCCGTTCCAAATTCCTCTTCCTACGGTTTTTATTCCATTCCATATACCTCTTCCAACATTTCGAAAGAAGTTTCCTATCTTACTGAAGAAACCCATTTTACTATATGTAAAAATCTAATGTCCGCCTAGTCTCTTACGTTTCCTGTTGAGTTCCATAGCATTCTTTAACTGGAGCTCATACATTCTGTTTCTCCTCTGGTAGAAAACATATTCTGGGTCAACTCCTGTGTTCGCGTCATCTGCATAAAGTTGTTTATATCCGACTTCAGGGTTTGTATAAAACTCTTTCCATCTCATATTTGCATACCATGGTGGCAAACCTAACGCAGCGTCATTTGACATGGCAGTTTGCATTTGTACATCTGTTGGCACTTGACCATAGTTTGCCATTGCAGTTTGTATTCTAACTTCATTTGGAATATTCTCTGGGTTTGGTTGTCCAGGTTGCTGTGCATTCGCTAAGTTCTGTGCGTCCATTTAATATTAGATAAAAATATCTCTTACGAGTACATATACTGAACATTTGCAGGCATTGGTTCATCTTCATATTCTCTGTACTTTTCTGCCACGTCAAAGAAATAAATGACACAATGGAAAAAACCTAAAACAAGTAGTCCTATTTCAAACCACATTTACTTACTAATAAAATTTCTTTGTTATGACACTTTCTCCGGTTTATAGGACCTCTCTCATATTCTATCTTGTCATATCTAAACTCATAGTCATGTATGTCCTCTAACCATCTCATAACGGTTTCCAAACCACTTTTATCGGATGTAAAGTAAAAGCATGGATGGTTATGTAAAACGTCTAAAGTTTCTAAAGAGTCTCTCAAAGTCCAGTCTACTTGGTATTGAAAATCCCATGTGTTATAGAACGGCGGGTCCACTATAAAGAAAACATTTTCCTTGTCTTTATATTTTCATACAACTCTGTCCAATGACATCTCACAAACTCTATACCCACAATATATTTTTCTATGTCCTCTTTGAAAACATGTGTATAGTTAAGATATAAAACTTTTGACATAAGTGTTTCAATGTCATGAACTCTTATAGAACCACTATATAATAGTCTAGCAGATATACTATCCCAGTCTATATATTCTGCTTTTTTCAAAACCTCTCTCACAATATTTTTCTTATCTAATGGTATACGTTCCATCTTACCTATGGGTATCTTTTCTTTTAACTCTTTCAATATATTGTTTGTGTCTGGTATATGTTTGAGACGGTCCATATAGTTGTCGAAGTCATTGCATATAATCTTTGAGTCTGGGAATATTATATGGCACAAATGGGATATATAGAAACTTCCACCGAACAAATCTACAAATGTTAGACCATTCGGTAGTTTCTTAAGTTCTCTCAATATAATATCTTTACATTTACTCTTATTTCCAAAGAACGGTAACGGTGGTTTTGTAAAATTCATTATATATAATAATAAAAATGTTTTTCCCTGAAAAGTGACAGAAAAGTGACAAAACATGAAAACATATATAATTTGTGAAAAGCGACACATTATATAATGTTTTCGACCCAGAAGAAGGCTTCTTCCCAGAAGCAATGGAGGAAGAAGAAGAGTCCTCCGAATATAAACTTCATTTATACTAAACATCTTCAGGGCTAGAGGGCACGAAGTGCCTGGAGGCCCCACTACCTTTTTTTTTTTTTTTTTTTTTTTTAAGGACTTCGACTTTAGCATCACATAAATATGTTATTTTCTATATTAAAACGTAATTTTGGTGGTCTTAGAATAGAAAAATATGCAATATTCGTGGAGATAATGAGGGTTCTTAAACATGTTCTTAAAAATAAATAAAATAATACAAATCTTTATTCAATCTTTTGATATTGTTGGTCCTCTCTTTGTGAAAATACTTAACTTCAAAGAGTATTATGTTTTACCTAGTGAGGACCTTAAGTTTGCAAAAACATAATAAAAGTAAAATAAAAAAGATCGGATTTATCACAAAACTTTGAGTATTATAGGATTTAATATATTTTCTTAGTAGATTATATGATTTAGTTTCTTAAAATCTAAAGTATTTCTTGAGGAAAATATAAATTGAAATTCAAAAAGTAAAAAAAATGTAAACAAATCAAATTTTAAATGGACAAAATGTTGATTTTTCATTCGTTTTCTCATTATCGAAAAAAATTTGGAAAGCTAAGAAGTCAATAACAAGTTATATAATACAACAAAACCCACATCGGATATGTTTTCATCAAATAGTCTCCTAGATTTGTTATGAAATTAAAATATCATGATATTTTAAGGGCTTTTGATTTCAATATTAGAATTATTCAGTTATGTCGTGCTAATATCAATTGCTTTATACAATTAATCGTTTACAAGCTGCAAAAATCGAACAATAATTTGACTTTGTAAAAAAAGTGCGTCATTTTTATTCGTTATACTTACAAAATGTAAACATTACGAGAAACATTTACATTTGTAAATGTAACAAGTAAAGTTGTCTCGCATAATTTGACTTTGTAAAAAAAGTGCGTCATTTTTATTCGTTATACTTACAAAATGTAAACATTACGAGAAACATTTACATTTGTAAATGTAACAAGTAAATACATCAGATTTAAATTGTAAATGTAGTTTATCTCTCTCATCTCCTTTTTAAAAGGTATTACATACATACGAACGCATGGGTCACTCAATAATTAGCGTGATAATAATTGAGGATAGACTGTAATCGTAATTTTATTTTTGGACTTATATTTCGACATTTTGAAGTCGCTTGAAAGTCTTGCAAATGATTAAATTTGGAAAATTTGACCTAAGTCTGCATTATTTTGATGACTTAAACAATTCTATAAATCTGTTTTCCTAAAAATTTAAAAAGATATAATTTCAATTTCCCTAAATTTATGTAATTCATATATCACCAAAATATTTGGACTGCATTTCGTTTGTCTGCACCTAATTAAAGTCTAAATACCAATTAATTTTGGAGTTGCATTGCTTTTAATGTAAAAATGCACGTTTAGAAAAAGATGATAACGATTAAATTACAAAATCGATAACGACGACGATTAAATTACAAAATCGATAACCTCTCCGAAAAAGGAATCACAATCCAGATTAAGCTTCCTAATTTCGGAAATTTAACAATGGAGACCACTTTTGCAACAACAGGAGCAGATATTAAAGAGTTTTTACGCGAGAATCAAATTGACACCAGAGATCTCCTATTGGCTTCACAGACAGGCATCATTGATGACTCTATGTTTATTAACAGAATCGGTCTTCGTAACAACTGTGCTTTAGTTGTTGTTCCAAAGACTAACAAGAAGAAAGGAATCCCACCGATGAGATCGTTATGTGCTATGCCAAGCCTTAGACCATCACAGTTCCCTAATTCTGTTACTATAGAGCCAGAGACAAAGATTAGAGCGAGTTCTTCAATTCGCTCTGTTTTCCCCAAGTTCAATAGACATTCACTCCCATTTTAGATTCCCTCCTTCTATCTTTATATCATTTCACTCCTTTTAGTTCTTTCACCTTAAAGTAATTTTTCTATTCCATATCGTTTGACTTTCTTTTTTCAAGGTTTTACAAATTAGTCTGATATTCTTATATGACATATCAAGATCTATTGATATTCATATTATTAAAACAGATTTTAATTTCAAGAATGAATTCAAATGGCGTTCTGATCAAAATAACTTGAGGAACATCAGTTACAATGAAAAATATCAACAAATATATAGTTGTTAAACCGATTATGTATAATAATACGATCAATCAAAATAATTTTGAAGGATTTTTCGGATTTCGTTATTATATTTATATGTCATTGTGTTTGTATAAATGGTTTCATGTAATTAAATTTTAAAATAAAGAAATTTTATTCAAAATCTGCAATAAAATAAAAAAAAAGAGAAAAATATTATCTTAAAGGGACTGGCCAGAGAAGAATCCCCAAACTTCAACAGCATCCGCACGAAATTCTGGCGCTCCAGCAAGGAATGTTCTTGCCTTGTTAGAATTGTACTGGAATCCTACACCGTAGCTGTTTTCGATGATAGAAGAGCATTTTTCGAGGTTTCCGTTAAGAGCGAGATCGTATTTACCGAATGTCAAAGTATCTTCTGTAGCGAATAAAGTAACTGGTTCTTCTGTCTGTCCGTGGTTAGGAATGAACGCGTCCTTGTTCAACTGGAAGAGGAATGAGGACGATCCCTTGCCAAATGGCTTTCCTTCTGTGTTCCATTTCGAAGCTGCGAAGCCACCAAAGATGTTTTCGCCGCTCTTGACAACAATGCATGTAATGCCGTGGTTGTCGATGAGTTTGTGGATCTTTGTGACTGTTCTGCCGTCTGTTTCTGAGTAATACATGCGATGAGTGACTGGTTGGCCCTTGAATGGGAAGCAGAGGTAGAGACGGCGCTGGAGCTCTGGGTTTGTGATGATAGCAGAGCCTTCGAATGGAAGGAAAGAGAGAGATTGGCCGGATTCCTGGTATTTGCCTTCCTTACGCTTGGCCATGCGAGTAAGTGTAGTAATATGTGGATCCTGGGCTTCGAGCTGTGTCTCTGTTGTCTGGCTGACGTCGTTATCTTGAGATGGAGTAATTCCGCGGGATTTTGGTTGAACTGCTGGCCTTGGAGGAGAAACTTCGATGCGGCCATAAACTGTGAGATCGGCGTCGACCTCTGATGCTGATAATGGAAGGTCGTCGTTGTTGATATGGGATTCTGTAAAGAGATCTGAGAAATGGGATGCCTGGACGAAAGAAAGAGGCTCATTGTTCTTCTGCTGTGCGGCCAACAAGTCCTTATGTGTCTGGAGATCGGCCAATTTCCTGATTAATTCGCTTCTTATGGCCTTGACTTGCTGTGCGCGGGCAGAAGACTGCTGGCGGGCATCTTCAATGGCCTTGGCAGCGATACGTGTAATTTCGGCTTCGACATTGATCTGTACTTGTTGGATTTCCTTGAGTTTTTCGTTGGCGGCGTTTAGCTGCTGATTGATTAATTTCTCGCGAGTGATGAATGCCTGATTTGGCTTAATTGCAGCGGAAACAGCGTTATCGTAAGCTTCCTTGAGATCTATGAGATGATGCTTTGCGAATTCGCCTTTGGAGTGGTTTCCTCTTACCTTGCACTGGAGGCAGACTGGGAGATGGCATTTCGTGCAGTAATACTGGATAAATGTGTCTGGATGGACTGGACATCTCTGGACGTTGATTAAGGCTTCAGCGAGTGGGTGGCGTGTATGGCCTGATGTAAGCTTCGTCTTGTGCTGTGAGGCATCGCATTTCTCGCAGAGTTTGCATGAATCGTTGTCGCACCAAATTGTGGCGTTTGGCTGGCCGCAATTGTGGCAAATATGCTTGACTGTGGCGTCGTGTGTAACGTTTTCCTTGCCCTTCAGACGAATAAGGCGGAGTGTGTTGATTTGGCTTGGATTGAAAACAACAAACTCGTTCTTGTTCGAAACGCGAATAGAATGATATCCAATTGGAAGTGTGGATGATGTTGGCTCGACTTCGGAGAATGCTGCCTCTGTAATTGAGGCGCCAGGCTTCTGATTGTAATAAACGTTACCAAGAGCAACGACCATGTGGACAAGCTCGTATGTTTCTTCGGAGCCATCGATAGGAACAGCACCTGCTTGGAAGCGGAAGCCGTTCTTTTGATTAATACGAAGTCCATGTGATGCAATGTCTGTAATTGGCTGTCCAAGTGATGCTGCTGGGACAAAAACATCAACTACATTGACTGGTGTAAGATGACTGCAGAAATTCTTGAAGGCGGCTGTGATTTGCTTTGTTGAGAGATCATAACACTCTGAAATTTGGAGATGTGGAGCGTTAAGCTGGAGCTGAAGAAGATACTCAGAATAGCCATACTCTTCGCTCGTTATATCTATCGGTGGAAGGGTAGATGTCATCTAAATAGTGTATGGAACGATAGGGTAACCGCTGACACTTCTTACATCGCTATACTTTAACGAATACCGTTTCTCTCAATTTTTGAATAGGTGATAGACCCTACATTTCAGTTTAAGTATTGAATCTGACATAAAAAGCGTATATCATTTACAATAGGCAAGTACATGTAAAACTATACATGGCACGATGGGCGCTACTTTTTTGGCGCCAGCGGCGCCGCCCGCGCCTCCGGTGGCTCCCACTGGTGGGGAGGAGACGATAGAAAAAGATATAAATTTTACTAAAAAAATTGAATTTTGGAAATTCTTTTGATTTTTTTGAATGATTTACGAAGAGATTGAACACATTTTGTACTATGAAATATCGTTATTAATAAATTTACTTCTTAAACTAAGGGTTTCGTTTTGCTAAAATTGTCACTTTTATAGCATATTTGTTTTTGGATGTTTTGCGAAACCAAAAAAAAAAAAAAAAAAAACTATGATATCCAATGTGTGTGTAAAGAAAATACTTTATTTACTAGTTAAAAAATCATTTGGTATTGATCAAGTTATTTTTTCTGGATAAGATATTATATGGATAATTGGATAGAAAATACAATTATATAATCTTGTACCTGGTTTAATTAAGCTAATTGTCATCAGAAACTTGTAATTTTTATGAATTTCAGATTTTCTTTTCATTACTGCTTTTCTTAATAGGTCAAGTTCTTATTTACGTTATAAAGTATGATATTTACAAATATCAAGTTATCATGTTTTTTGAGAAATTATGAGAAACAAACAAAAATGAAAAAGATAGGAATAGCAATGAATAGTGATGTGGGTATAGAAAATGTAAGAGATATGAATGCAAAGCAATCAGTATTTAGGATATTGACCATAGATTTCGAAAAAAAAATGCTGCATATTGAGCGAAAACTATGATTATATTATAAGGCTGTCATTTAAAGCATAATGAAACTATTCCCTTTTCATTTTAATCGAATAAGATAGTAAAGATTTTTGAATTAGCTAGAAACTGATGAGATGTTTTCACAAATCAGATTTTTAATCTCTATAATGCATAATTCACTCAATATCTCAATTTTGATATTGCGAGATATTTTTGCTATCGGTTTCGCAATTTTGACACAATAGCAAGAGGGTTCTATAAGCATTATTATCAACGTAGAATCTGAATATCATATCAGAAAATGTCGCAAATCTGACATTTACCCGACCAAATAGCAAAAATAATTGAATACTTTTCGCAAAAACTTTAAAAATCGATAAAAATATGAAATATAGATATTAAAGAGACTTTTTATATAATATTCATAAAGATTTTCCAAAAATATGATACCGCAAAATTAAAAAAGTGACGTCTTGAGTGGAGTCAAAGGTCGAAATTGCTAGCTAAATGTTTTTTTAGCGAAATTGCGTATTGTACGTTTTTTTCGCAAAACGAAACCCTTACTTAAACACATATTAAAATCGCAATTTTGAATATTTTTATGATTTTTTTTGACCCGATCACTTGCGCCCGCGCCCACTGGGAGGGGCGCTTGTAAAGTATTCAAAAATCAATGTAAACATTTCAATTTTTGCTCCCACCTCCCATTGGGAGGGGGGCATATATCTTGTAGCGTTCAAGTTCAAGTGATGAAAGTGCATAAGAAAGCTCCTTAATCATACCGATAGAAACAGCATTAGGGGCGCCAAATGGCGCTCGGTGATGTTTCCCATAAAAGCTTAATTTCAGGTATCCATAATCATAACCTGTCAGATGCAATAATTCATTAGCACACAATCATCGTTTCTCAATCAAGAAACGAAACGCACGATTGATTATGCTGGCCATTAAATTTTCATATCAAATAATTTACTACTTCAAGAAAAATTAAAGACTATCATCAACCAAAGCTTAAAATTCTCAGTGTTTACAACTCTCATACTTCGAATATGCATATTTCCAAAATAGCATGAAAATTTTTTTCATTTGAGCTCATTTTCTTTTGTTCTATTAACTAATACATGCAGTACAAGCTTGTTATACGTATACTTAATAAGTAAGGTCTTAAGGGAAATAATAAAAAAGAATTTTGCTATTAATTATATTAAACAATATTTATTTGTAATTTCGTGATAATTATATTTCTTATTACAAAGTAAAGGTATTTGATATAATGTTTGCCTTACAAAAATGTTTCCTTTGTCTTGCCACCATAGGTATTCTATTTTGTCACTTTTTGCGCCCACCGTGCCATGTATATGTAAAACACTCTGATTTTGGCTGAATTTGAGTCAATATTTGATAGAGTTTTGATCAAAAATGTCGTAAGCTGGACATCTTACCAATATTTATTATTTTTACAAGAATTTATGGATGAAAAAAGTTAAATTAAAGATTCATTCCCATTATCTCTTGATAAAAATTTCTATTTTATCATTTTCGTTATCAACAATATTGTGGGAATAAATATCTTTTATAGGATAAGCAATTTTGATAACTGAAACATTATGGAATCAAAAGATATCAAATAAAAAATTTTTTATTTAAAAAGTATCGTATTTTAAGATATAAAATAGGGCTTTAATAAGTAGAATTTAAAGTAATAATAAAGATATAGATAATTTAAACCGAAAATAGTCAAACTAAATTTAATTAAGGAGGTTGTCGAGATATAGACTCCAATCATCAATTGAAGATCCGGCATCTACATCATTTGTGACAACACCATTGACAAAGAAGTAAGGAGTACCATCAACTCCATGAGATGTTGAGTATTTGAACTCAACACGAGCTCCTAAGTTAATATCAATTGTAGCGAATGCATTTCTGATATCATCTTCAGAAAGTTGGCAGATTTTAGCAGCATATTTGATACAATTGTCTGTAACAGTATTTTCTGTAAAACTAGGGTCATTTTCGAACTGGCCCTGACCACCTGTATAAAGAGCGTTGACTAAAATTTGTGCCTTTGGTTCAGATAATTGTTTGACAGCTAAAATTGTTCTTGTAACGACAAATGCCCATGTATGGTAAGGTAATGGAAGGAAATGAAGAACGAATTTAACATCATTTTGATATTTCTGAATCATTTTTGAGACACCATTCATCCAGGCGTTCAAACAAACAGGACAGAGTGGATCACCGTACATTTCGACGAGGATTTTATTGGCATTTGGATTCCATGTAAGTCCAGTTTGACGGGCTGGAACAGGACAGCTAATTGCTAATGCTGCAAGAATGGATAACATAAAATTAAAAAGTGACAAATTCAACTCAATTTTCTGACAATTTTAAATTTACATGACAAAAATATTTATTGTCACTTTTCGATTAATACTCTGATGGCAGAAAGATCGTTTTCATACAAACCTCTGCCAATAGAACCAGAGATTGTTGAGATTGGGCATGGGGAGATCTGGTCCAAGATACCTAAAGCAAATTTGATCATTTCTTCTGAGTTTTACGCGAAAAATGTGTCAAAAATAGGTTTAAAATTCGATATTCCGGATATTACAGACAGAAACATACTTGACATAGTCATCGAAATCATCAACTTGAATTCAATCGATATTCCAGAGGAAAAATGGCAAATTATTCGAAATATTTTACTAAAACTCGAGTGCAACGACATATTAAAGAACTTAGACAATCAAATAGAGAAAATACTCAACGAACGCGCCAAATTAATGGAAGAAAAGCAGAGAGAAACCGAAAATCCAACAATTTCTGTTTTCTTCAAGCTAAATACTGGCGCAAACGTAATTGTGAAGCATCTCAAAGCTAGCATGCTCATAAGTGAAGCCAAAAAGCTTATATCTGCCGTAACAAACATGAAACCAGACTCAATTTTGTTTCAAATTAAAGACACACTTCTTCCGGACGAAAAAACTCTCTCGCAATGTGGACTGACCAACAACTCTATTATCACATTCTTTTACGATACTCCTGAATACAGAGAGGCTTTACGAAGAAAGCAGCAAATGCAACAAGCAGCTGCAGCGAGAGCAGCACCACGGCCACCTCCTCGACCACCAGTACAAAATACAAGGGTCCAACCTCAATTAAATCCAGTACAAAATCAAAATTATAATATTCCTCAGAGAAACATGGCCGTTGGTGCCCAATACTTACCTAATATTCAAAACAGAGCACCCATGGCACCAAAACCTCCAGTTACAAATCAAGATATGGTTATGCAGCAATTAAGAGCTACAGAAGCCATGACACCTGCTCTTTTGGAGCGTTTGGCTCATAATCCCCAATTGTTGATGCAATATTACCAACGAATTCGCAATAATTTGACGAATCAAGAGCAAATCAGACAAAGACAGCAAATGACAGCACCAACAACACCTGCTAAGCCTCCTCCTCCGAAACCTGTTCAAACTCCCCCGCAACCAAAGATAGAACCTCCAAAACCAAAAACAAAAGAAGAAATTGAGGCAGAAAGAAGGAAATTGCTAGAAAACATACAAGAAACAACAACGCCGTTGATGGAACCAGCGGATAAATCACAGTTAATTGTAATTTTGCCAAATCTCAAAAAAGTTGGTGTAAAACTTAAATCTACAGCCCTAAAAATAGAGAAACTGAAGGAAGCCGTGTGTAAAAACACTGCTTATGCACCTGAGAAACACAAACTAGTGTACGAAAGAGTTACAATGCTCGATACAATGAAATTGTCTGATTACAAACTAGCAGGCAGAGCTCCAGTTTATTTATTACCAAAATAGAGTTATTTTGTATATTATTTTATATATTTTTTTGTTGTAATTTATAAATTATATTATTATTTTTATTTTCTGATTTAGATTTATCAAACTACACTTTAATATAATCATCTCTAACAAAACAATCTAACAACTAATTTAGAGTTTATACGCTATTAACCGTGGAATTTTAGATGTTCTAAGTGAAATTATATATTATAATACATCAAAATGGCATACAGCGGATCCAACAATTATTATTTTAATTCCTACAAAAAGATTTCTTCATATGATTATATCAGGGCAGACATTATTTAAATATCTAGAAATGAATATATACTATGATGTGTATATTAGTGTTTTCTTTTCAATATAATCTTTGGCTTCTTTTTTAGATCCAATCGAGTTAAATTATATATTGATGCAAAAATGAGTGGTGTATATCCAAAAACAATTATTGTAATTATTTTTCATAAGTTTAGATCTATTAATTTACAATACGTTCGTTTTTCTGTAAATAAACAATAAACAGTTCTTACTAATTAATTGATTCAAGTATTTAATTGAATATTGAAAAAAGTAATTTTCAATGATTATATAGTCGATTTTTTATTCAAATGAATACCTTTTCAAAAAAATTTCCATCTAAGTATCCTAAAAATATTATAAAATCGCCACAATCTTGGTTATAATTTTACTTCTGAAAAGCCTTTGAATTACAAATAATCGTAATTGAATAGAATTATCATATAAAAATTTGACATTTGAAAATTTTTATATTAATATCAAGTTATGGAATATTGGTATCATGCGAAGAAAATCTCATTATCAGCAAATAGATTTAAAAGATGAATTGACTGATTAAAAGTACTATTCAAGTTTGAAAAATGCAAGAAAGTTCAGCTGGTCAGAATATTTTGGCAACAAAGGTAAGGTCACCCAAACTAAAAACGGAAATCCATTCTCTGATACCTCAGGTTCTAGAAATTATTACGTATTTGCTTGCTTTTTTAAAGAATGCAAAAATAATGGTGCAATTTATATCCACAGATATAACGAAGCTTGTGCATTACTTGAAGAAAATACATTTTCTAGATGCCAATCCAACGAAAGAGGTGGCTCTGTATACTTTCTAGATCAAGAATTAGGGGAGTTTGTACAACAACGAAATTCTTATTCTGAATCAAAAGCTGAGAATGAGATTACATTTAGTCAAAATACTAATGATGGACCTACAAAAAGAACTATGTACTTCAAGTTTCAGTTTCAAAATGCGGAGAAAGTGAAACAGAGGAACAAGACAATGTAGACGTTGCATGGGGTGATATCCGTTTTGAGAATAACAACATCACATATAATAAATGCATTTGTTATTCAGGAATACATAATTCCCTTCAAGGAAAATCACTTGCATTTAATTTCTCGATATTCATTGGAAACAACCAAACTGAATGGGAATCTCTTGCATTATTCAGTGGTTCTAAATCATTGATGCAAGTATTTTCTTACTGCAATATAATTGGAAACAAATGCGGAGGCTATAAAGCATTATTTCATTGCGATTACAATTCTTATGTTGATCATTGCCTATTTTTAAATAATATTGCGCGATACATGTTTTCTATTAATGCAAAAGGTTACACATTGACTATAACTGATTCATGTTTTGATGCAAAGTCGACAAGAGGGTCAGGAACTGTCACATTTAATAAAAATCAATCTAATTTTGATCTAAATAATTTTTTCCGTTTATATACAGAAATGTGTTTCATTGAAACCAAGAGAGTCACAACCAAAATACCTTATTTACTGAAATTTGCCGAGACCTCAGCTAGCATTCTATAATAAATTAATATAAACCATGTTTTTAAATCAAAAATGTTTATATTAGCTATTTTCATTTCAGCTTCCAAAATAATGAAACATCCAAAATTAAGTAAATAAGAGGAGAATAAATATAGGAATTAAGGGGTTATTTTAGAGTGGAAAAAAAGTAAAAAAAGACGATCATGAAAAGCCTGCAATAGAAAAACACATGCCGAATCATTGCAAAAAAAAGAGGTGGAAAATTGAGAGAATTTTGATCGTCTTTTTTAACTTTTTTTCCACTCTAGAATGATCCGAATTAACAATTCTCTTCAATAATGATTATTGATCAAATCACAACGAAATTAAGGGTGCACTTACGCCCCTATGACACGACCATCAATTCATTTGTTTAAGGTTAATTTTCAATGGCGCTTCACTCCAGTTGTCAAAAATTTGAAGTTAAGTAAGATAGGCGTAATTCCAGCCTTAAGATGAAGTAAATTCAATTTTAGAGTCATTACCATTCCATTGATTACAATCAAAAAATTTTGAGCTGCCAAGGGGATAATCTAGTTATTAGCAAAAGCTTGACGATAATACAGATAGAGCATGAATTGGTTTTACATAAACCTTGAATTGATTGTATTTTTTTTCTTCTCTAATATACACTTTGCTCACATTTTTTCCCTAGCAATTTGGACCCAAGATTTTGAAACTACTATAGTATATATTTTGATTTGTGATGATCCAACTGAAAAGATCAAAGAAAATTTTCCTAATTATATTTTTATTACAAACAAGAAAAGTCATATGGTTCTTCTGTCCATTCTAATTCACATTGAATATTGATTTCGTCATCAGAAGATGCGTGAGCAATATTTGCTTCGTACCATTTTGATTGATGCTTAATTTTAGAACGCAAATTATCGAAACCAATCTGTTCACTAACTGTTTTCGCTTTAGAGAACAAATCACGTCCAATTCCTGCAGCATTTCCTTTGTATTCTGCTCCAATTGCTGTAAGAATTGTTGGATAATAATCAAATGTTGTAAATTGTCTATTTTTCATATTTATTGGTTTCTTTCTCGAATTAATAAACACATCATAAGTAGATCTCTCCGCATACCTTAACTTCGGCTGCTCTAACATTTTCAAGTGGTCTCCAACAATGAAGATTGTTGTGTTATGATAAAAATGTTGATTTTTGACAAAATTCACAAAATCATCAACTTGTCTCGATGCACAAGCATCTACCATGTATTTTCCAGGATTACGGATAGGGTCACACAACTTACACTTAGATTTGAGCAAGTGAGTGTCATAAGTGTTGAGTTGGAGGAAAAAAGGGAAATTATTATTATTTTTCAAAAATTCTTTTGCATATTGATACAAATACATATCATATATAATATATGTCTCAGGGTCATACAATTCCTTATTATTTATATCAAAGTCATACCCTTTTAAAGTGAAATTTCCATGATCACGAAAAATATTGACGTACTTATTCTTAAAAGGGTTTTCTCCCATTACAAACACATTCTCATATCCATTATCTTTCAAGATATCCCCTAAACAATAAGCTCCTGGGTAGTATTTTCCCAAATTATTCTGATTTGATTCAAAGTTGAAGAACGGAAGCCCACAATGAACAGCGAAGTTTGCAGAATAGCTGTGCCTCATGCCTTCAACAGGAATAGCTCCTCCGATCTTGCTGTGATGAGAAAATTGGACGTTTTCTTTGTCTAAAGCGAGTTTTTCTAATTCTGGAATTTTACTTTCATCAAAATCGCCGCCGTTCTTCAGGGAAACTAATGTGGACTCCATGGATTCGAGCATCAATATAATCAAGTTGTTTTTCCCATTTGGAAATGAAATTTCTGTTAAATTTGTGTAAGATGATGAAATTAAGTCATCTTTTAAGTATCCTGACGTAATTGTTGACATATCTATTACGTGTGTAATATTGTAAACGCAAATAGCTAATAAAATAATGATTAACATCGGAAAATGAAAAATAATTTTGAAATTTCCAAATTTGAAATGAATTGGGAAGATTTTGCTTGAAAACACGGATAAAATCATGGATGGAATAGTATACGGTAAAAGATAGCGCATGATATAGATCCTTAAAGCTAAAAGAAACTCATCATTTTTTTGTTTTCCAAAAAAACTGATTTGGTCATAACTAATGTATCCAAATGTATAATATAGGTACTTAGTGAGCGAAATAATTGCAATTAACATGACGAATATAATGCTATATTGTATTTTATGCCAAATTTTTATTCTTGATTTGCGAGAGAAGCTGTGAGTTCTTGTATCTGGAATAACATCGTTAAAAACATCGAGGTTACACTTCAGTGTGATATCAAATATCCCATAAAATGCTGAAATTAAAGTAGATAACGAAATATAGTAAAGGAAACCATATAAATTACGTATATTAGTGTACATTTGAAATGGATAGATTGTACTTATTAGTTCACTAGCTATAAAAATCGTTAAATTTACAACTATTACGTATTTCAGATATTTTTGAAGGAAATCTAAAGCATTTGAGGAATCTTTGATAATCGCACTTAAAATAGGTGGAACTCCTAGTGAAATCATATATTGCAAAAATACCATTCACTAAGAGTTTTCTCCCTATTTTCTCAAACTTAAAAAGTAAACTATTGAAATATATAGAATATTTCATATTTCATTGCTTCATACTCTAAAGTGTTTCATTTTTCATTAATTTAGTAGTTTTCACTTGATATATTATTTAATTATTTTAAATATATTAGAGATAGAAGGACTAACACATTCAATAAAGTGCTCCCATTGGTGGAGGTTTTTATTATCTTATCACTGTTGGAGCTAATAAAGAAGCAAAGAAAAATCTTGAATATTCTCCACTCATTTTTGCATCAGGATATGATCATCTTTAAGTTGTTAAATATATTCTCTCAGCTGGAGCTAATAAAGTCTCAAAGGATAATCTTGGAAAGACTGCTCTTGATGTTGCAAGAGGATCTGTGAAAAAATATTTATTATCAGTTTAAAGATTCACAATCATAAGTTAATAATGCGAGAAAATATAGCTTTGCTTTTAATTGATCATAGATGTCAAGTATCCAAAGTTATTTGCATATTTAATTTTAAGGGTCCACTGTAAAAATTGAAAGTCTCTCAAAATTGAGAGGCGATTTGCAAATAATCGTTATCGTCTTTTTTCGAAAATCCACTTTTCCTAGTGTTCTGATTAATATTTTGTGAATGTAACAATAAAGTATATGTTTTAGTAAGATGATAATACATTCTATCACTTCAAATCACATAAAAATTGCAAAATCAGCGAGTTTTATAAGAACATGATTTTTTCGAATTTTTTCGCTTCTGGATGCGTGTTTTGAAAAATAGATATTTTCGAATTTTAATTTTAATTTAAGTATAAATTTTATATTAGGAATTTTTTTGACCTATTTCCAATCATTAATTCCTAAGTTTTTCTAGGAATTTAATTGAGAAGAAATTAGGAAATTCGCTTTAATGCCATTACATCCTAATATTGTGATACATGTAGTTTATATTTATTGAGGCTAATGCCGGAATATCGTGCATTTTATAAAAAATTCAAAGAATTGACAATTGGATAGCACAAATTTAATTCTCTAGACAAAGTATTATTGTTTATATATTCAAAGCATTATCCTTCGTTTTGAAATGTTGGCCAAAATTTTCGTGTTATTTTTTGTGTTTCAGCATAAATTATGTATTGACTTATGAAAGATAAGCATTTTATTCATTATCATAAAGATATACCAAAACAAATTGATAAAATTTAAAAAAATGTGTATTTTAGTGGGTATTATTCTGGCCAATGCCCATTTTTAAACGATTTAATATTGACCATATCAATAGCCGACTCAATGTAAAAATTTAGATATTATTTTTTTCATTATTCAAACTTTGATAAATTTTAGTATAATGAATGATTTTGTTTCGTGTATGATACAGAAATGAAAAGCTTAATTAATATCATTTTGCATTTTTTCAAGAATGTTAGAGTACATCTACATTAAAAAATCGGATTCGAATTGCAATACTGCATCAAATTGTTGCACATCTGATAAGGATCTCAAAAGAGTAAAGTTAATTTTTTTGTGTTTTTTTAAGTTTTGGGCCTTAGTAAAAACACCATCTTGAGCAATATTTTTGGGACGACGATAGACCTTATTTGGCCTTACAGTGGACCCTTAAAGGGTCACAATTATTATTTTTTTTTAGAAATGAACTCTTTATAATTGCATTTTATAATTTGGAATGTGTTGAAGCAAGCTTTTGTTTGACGATTTTATCAAATTGAGGTCTATTCTCTGCATAAAGTTTCCCAGCTTCCATATCACGGACTTTTTCAATGTTTGGATTCTTCAACATATCAATAATGATTTGTACTATGTCTAATATATGCATACTAGCCTTATAATGATCTTCTCCCCAGCAGATATCTCCATTTTCATCAACGTTTGGATGGAAAATTGGTGGTGAAAATCTAACATCTGGGGCTTGGTGTGGATATTTAGCTGGCAGTGTTAAATGAAGTTTGATCCGGAAACCTTCATACGGTGTACCTGCTGGACCTGGAAATGAAATATTCCAATTATTTATATTATCTTCAACAAATTCTGCAGTAGCCCTTCCTGGAGACTTCTCGTTTAAACTCTTGAACTCCATTTGAATTCTCTTTGCATTCATTTTGGAAAAATGAAGTCATGAATTTTGAATATAAAATTTTCAATTTCTTGACTACAAAAAAATATGGTGGAAAATTTTATAGAATATCTCTTTCAATTGAGCATTACCGAGAAAAACTGTTGTAGAATGAGAAGCAGCGAATGCAAGAAATTCGCAATTATTTCACGTAATATAGATCTTATTCTGTAATAAACAGAAATTCATCAAAAGTGACAGCTCTCAATTTTTTGACATTTGTAAATTCTAAATTGAATGAGAAAAATGAAATAATACTAAGCATAATACAATATTCTAGATTTAATTATAATTAGGAAAAAGTTAGTTTTGAGAGTACTTTTCATAGGCATATAGAATGAAATCTTCTGAAAAATAATATCACATAAACTCATATTATTTTCTAATATATAACTATTTGATATAAAAATCAAATTCAATGATCTGAAAAGCGAAGGATAAACCTCAAAATTTACGAATATAATGAGTGGGAATAGGCGTAAAGCAAAAATTGATATTTCATATGGTTTTATGATAGATAAGCATTATATTCCCACTCATTATATTCGTAAATTTTGAGGTTTATCCTTCGCTTTTCAGATCATTGAATTTGATTTTTATATCAAATAGTTATATATTAGAAAATAATATGAGTTTATGTGATATTATTTTTCAGAAGATTTTGTGTTCTTCTTCAAAATTTTGCTTTTTTATTAAAAAGAATCTTTACAAAATATACATTTACTTTAATTAATATTTAAAAACGTGCTCTATCAAAAGTTCCAAAAATTCAATATTTTAGCTTTTCTGAGGTGTCACTTTTGATGAATTTCTGTTTACAACAATTCTAACTCAGAAATCATATTTTTATTATATTTATTACATAAGACATTTTATTTAATAAAATACAAACATAAAAAATTTATTCATCATCATCACTTTCGTTTTCTAAGTAATTAATCAATTTGGATAATCTGTATTTATGGTCTTTCTTATTGAATATCTCCCTCGATGATTTGACCGAAAACCATTCAATTGTAAACCTAAATTTCGGTTTTCTGTAAGGAATCTCTTCGTATTCAGCAGCTAGCGGTGATTTATCTGCTGTAATTGTCATTGATCTTCTATCACGCCTTTGTGGAGATTTATTTAGTTCTTTGACGTTTGGTTTTTGAGTTTCCAAGAGAGAAGAAGACCTTTTACGTGGAGAAAGCTCTTCTTCAGCAAGTATCGATTGTTTTACATTGTCTTCGATATTAAGGACGATGTCACTTTGTGAATTAGATTTAATGAATTTGTGTTCTTCTTCGTGATGGTTTATATTCATCCATCTCTTGTCATCTCTACCTTCTTCTTCATAACTCTTACGTCTTAACTCTTCTCTGCTTTTACTTCTTGTCATTTTCACTTCTTGTTTTTCTTCTGCTGAACTTCTTCGCTTTTGGAGAGGTATTTGGGATGCCAAAGAGTTCTTCTTCTCTTTATCTATCGATTTACGACGCTTTATATTGTTGTTCCTTTGTAAATTCTTTTCATCTTCGTCGTAACTTCGATGTTTAGATCTCCTCTTCTTTTGTCTAGAACTATCACGTTTCCTGTCACTACTGAAGTCATCATAACTCATCATTTTACCATCTAAAACAACATTTACGTCTGTTGTGTTTTTGTCCGAATCTTCATCGGGGAACTTCCTCTTGGCACTTTTTGAGTCATGTTCATTTGGTGATTTTCTTTTCTGAATTTTATCGTCTTCTGTGGATTTTCTTCTGTTTTCTTTATTTTCACTTGGTGACTTTTTATTTTTATCGTTATCGTTCGGTGACTTCCTCATGTCACTTTTTGAACCTTCATTACTATCATGAGATCTTCTTCTATGAGCATTTTGCTTTTTAGGTTCAAGTTTAGATGATTCTTCTTGAGATTTCTTTGTCTCAATTTTTGAATTTTGTTCTTCAGAAGCAACAGCATTAGAAACTCTTCTTGCTTTAGGCATTTTATCATCACTACTCTGCAATGATGCAGATGAGGAGTGGCTTTTGAGTGTTTCGCTCGGTTCCAAGAATTCAATACTGTTTAATTCGTAAGGAAGAAGAATTTCCGCTGACGAGAAGATAATTTTATCTTTCTTTTGACTTCCAAGATCAATCTTTTCATCGCTTAATAAGATATTGGATGTTTTAGACTGATTAATTTTGGAATTATTCTGTTGTAGATGACTTAAGTTATCCAAAGAATCCAAACTTTGGAAAAGAGCTTGTTCATCTAATGCTGGTGAGTTCTTGACCGATTTTTTCTGAATAGAATTATTTGGTTTGAGATTTGAGAAAACTGGAGTGTTTAGAACAGGAATAGGCTGTTCTAAAGAGTCTAACATCTTATCATCTTTACTTATAAGTAACAGTTCTCCTTTGTTTTCCTGTGAATTTAGTTTATCTGCTATAGAATCAACAGTTTCATAGGAAAGATCTAATGATTCAACAGGGTTTCTTTCTGATTCGAGGTTTAATGTAGGGACATCTTCAGAATATTCTTCTGAATTTGAGATTAGTTTATGATGCTCGATTTTTGCTTGACTTGTATCTAATGCTGTCTGAAGTTTAGCAATATAGTTGTTTTCTGGGTCATAATTATTAGCAACTAAATTTTCACTTGAATTTGAAACTGATTTTTCTTCATTTTCAATATTTTCTGCTTGATTGATAAAATAAGGGATCTCTGTAACAGTGAATGTAGAAACTTTGTTCGTTTTGAACTTTTCCAAATCAATATTAATTGTTTTCTCCTTTTCTTGCGACAACAAGAGGCCAATCTCTTCATCATTGAATTCCTTGATATCATATTCATTAGTAAAATCGATATCATCGAAATCTGATGAAGAACTATTGAATGCCTGACAAAAATCTCTTGTTAATACATCTTCGCTTGAAATTGGGACAGGATTTGTCTTCTGTACATGCTCAATCTTCAATTTATTATAATCAGAGATCTTCTTTTCCACGTAAGAGACGTATTGATTATAATATTGAGGATATTGATCGAATTGAGGGCATTCAAGCTCTTCCAGCACATTATTCATAGGGAAATAAACACTATAGTGCGAGTATTGGAACGGTTTGAGGGCTGGATCGAACAAATCAAGATAATCAACTTTATTTTCTTCGAGTTGATTAAAGAAAGACCAAATTCTAGCTCTAAACATCGATACTTCTTGTTCTTCCAGCTTCAATCTCTCGATATCTTTAGTTGGCCAGCACAATGTAAATTTAATTGATCTTTGCTCAATAATATCAATCAATTTATCGAAGCATTCATAGGAATTAAACTCAGAACCATCGAAAGATATCAAATAAAGCTCTTTCGATGATTTGGCAAGCGTAGAAAGCTCATCAAGTAAATCATCACCGGATTTTGTGTCTTCTAGCTTGAGTTCGTTGATATTAACACTTGACAGAGCTTGTACAATCTTTAGAGCATCAGGTAAAGCTCTTCCCGAATAAGAAAACGTTAATAATTTTCTTAATTTCGGAATTACGTTACATAAATCATTAATTACATGTGAAAGGTCACATTTATCTAGTATGAGTTCTTCCAATGCAGTATTCTTTGGCAGAAGGTTAATCAAACTCTTGTGAATCGGATTTCCGCACCAGGAAAGTCCGCTGAAGCAATGAGTGTCCTGGGAGTCCATAAGTTCGAATATGTTGTCCCATTCTGTAAGGTCTGATAAAATAGCGTTGGAAATCCTCAAATTTAGCTCATGAGGAATATTCTTCGAAAATAAGTAGTAGAAATAGGAAAGAAGAGTTCCTTTCGCAAAAGTAACTGATGAAATGTCTAATAGATAAAGAGGTGGAATCTTTCTGAACTCATTTTTGCAATAATTTCCAACAAGACAGACCATTCCGATTTTTTGATTGTCTGAGTTCGAAATCATGTCAAGAACAACCGGAATATCAATGTTACAACGCGCTAATGACAAAGATGTCAAGTTTTTGAAATTTTGGAGAATTAAAGCGATATCGAGGTTCACAGTGTCATCAAAGTTGAGCATTGTGATCGTATTGACAACAGCTCTGTAGTTGCTATCGTAAAATAAACGCATAAAATTAAATTTCGAAATATTTCGAAAAGCTAAGCTGCTAATGATGCGAGCTTTGCACAATTCGAGTAATGACTTGATATTCGAGTCAGACGGATTACATTCTGAGAAAGAAATTGACGAGACGGCACAATTATCTGTATTTTTTAGAGAAGCGCAAAGATTTTCAAATCCTTGTAGACAATCTCCGAATATGTGTATATGAGAAAACGTGGATATTGTTGATTGAAGAAAATTTGCAAAAATGGAAAATAAACTTCCATTTCGCGAATTCGTGATTACAATTGTTCGAATACACTTCGCGAGCTGTATTGTAGCCATAATAGGTACAAAATATGGCTCTGTGACTGAGGAATTTGAAGTATCAATAATTGGACGATTATGTATGATAATATCGCGTAAATAGCTCATAATATCATCGGTTATTGGCAGGTTAACTTTTTCGCAAACATTCTTGAATCTCGTTAGCAAACCAATAGCATTTGGCAGATAATTGTAATCATTTATGGAAAATGGGTATATTAAATCGATTTCGACGTATGTTTTTGTTCTTTGAAGATAAACTAGTATTTTCTGAGAGATATCATACGGATCTTTCGCTTTAAAAGAGAATATCTCGGTTCCAAAAGTTAATGAGATGATATTTCCTTCAAATCTCATGCCCGTTAGGTTACACCACGAGCATGATGTTGTTTCTACTAATGATTTGGAATACATATAGTAAATTACTGAAGAATCTGATATGATTAAAATTCTGGGCTCTTCGCCGCCATCGTAGTTGTACTTCATTACAGAAGATGCATAAAGTACAATCCTATTTTTCGCACGAGAGTCTTCGGCGGCCTCGAGGACTCTCGATACATCGATCATCAAAAATTGAAAGAAGCTCTCAAAAAATGCCACTTTTATTCTATATAAAAGTTGCAAAAAAGTGGCAATAAACTAAAATAAATATTACTGCTATTGTAATAAACAGAAATTCATCAAAAGTGACAGCTCTCAATTTTTTGACATTTGTAAATTCTAAATTGAATGAGAAAAATGAAATAATACTAAGCATAATACAATATTCTAGATTTAATTATAATTAGGAAAAAGTTAGTTTTGAGAGTACTTTTCATAGGCATATAGAATGAAATCTTCTGAAAAATAATATCACATAAACTCATATTATCTTCTAATATATAACTATTTTATATAAAAATCAAATTCAATGATCTTAAAAGCGAATGATAAACCTCAAAATTTACGAATATAATGAGTGGGAATATAATGCTTATCTATCATAAAACCATATGAAATATCAATTTTTGCTTTACGCCTAATTTTTGACGACAATTAGCAAAAAATGTTAAATGTTAACACTCAGTCCATTTGAATATGAAAAATAAAATTGACTTTGATTAAATGTTTTTATTTATCATGCAATTCTTCTTGCGACCAAAGATTTGAATAAAAGTTCAAAAAATAAGATAGCTTAAAAAATAATATACGGTAGTGTTTACTAATAGATGAATAGTATATAAATTCTATTAAAATGGATTTGATCCAAAAAAATATATAAAATTTGATCATAAATAAAATCGTTTTAAATTACTTCTTCATTTAAATTATAACAATTATGAAACAATCAACTGCTCCGTGATAACAACACAAATCAAGTAATGAATATCCATGAGAAGAAGCTTGATATAAACTGCTTTTAAGATATTGATATTTATTAAATATTTCACTTTCCGTGAATTGGATGAATCTTTCTAAGTCATTATACATAATTGCTTTGTAAATGGTATTTTCTGAATGAATTTCGAGGTTTTCTAATTTAATGTTTTCGAAATCATTATATTTGTCTAATTTAATTCCAAATTGCTTATAAAACAGGTAGTTAGAAATAGTGTTAATACAAGTTGCTTCGTTTACTTGACAATCATCAGATATGAGTTTGGCGAGAGCCAAATATGACTTTGCATAGCGGTTATTATACGTAATGATATTTAAAATGTTTCTTATAAGCTTGGATGGTGGATATTTATTTGAATCAATTAAGTTTGTTTTGATCATTTTGTAAATCGAGTCTAAATCTTCTACATAATTTGTTTTTAACTGATACAATGCATTATATGAATCAATGTAGCATGCATAAACGCTTCTTAGTTCGAAATATTTATTTGTATTAATGTCTTGATCACTCATAAAAAAATTTAAAATTTTACATATTTCTACATAAAATTATTATTTCGAATCGTAAGGAGATAAACCGAAATTGATCGATCCTTGTCCGCCGATAGACCATAAAAAAATTAAAACAAAAATATGGAATATCGTCATTCTTTCTCATTTTTTAGTCGATTTGTTGGATATGTTCATTATATTATCTATCAGATTTTCAAAATTCCAAAATGTTTCAGACAATATTTTCCTTTTTCAAACAACTTCTTCTTAATGCAACAGCATTAAAAATAACAATCATATCTGCACTTATTGCGTTGACAATTCCAGATAGTTTTAAAAAATCTTTCTTTTCTTTGGAAGATACAGAATGGAAGATTTTTAAGAACACAATATGCGAATTATTTAGGATCAGAACACATCAACCAATCGAACCCGAAATCTATGTATGTAACAGAGGCTTAAGATATCCAAAAGGCACTCAATTTAGTATTATTTGGAAGTTATTTACATGGATTTACTTTTACCGTGTAGTTAAACAGCAAGGAGCACTCAAGTCCGTTAACACGTTATTATTTATACTATTCGCTTTATATAGAACTAATTTTTCAATTTATCTTTGGATTTTATGTTTCGCTTACAGAATGTTTGCAAACAACAGTCTCATGAATTTGGTGTCTACAGCGTCGATCCCATTACTATTTCTACCATTGCTTTATACAAAACCCGAATTTGATGTTGATCAACTGTTTACAATCGTATATTTCAACGTTCTTGCAGATGTTCCAAAGAGGTCACTCATATCTACAGTTACTGCCGCATATTTAGCTACAGGATCCTACCAAGTCATGTTTTTCACATTTATTTTCGGAATTGCCGTGAAAAGTTTAATCGGCAAGATCAACTCTGTCCTATCCTACAACTGTGTTGACCTATTGGTCAGGTTTTGCATATCAAATGACGTAAATCAAGCTGATTTCGTAATTTTACATAATGAGAACCCGAATGCGACCGCATTAGGTCAACAACAAGGGGAAGGTGACAACCAGAACTTAGATCAGCTTGGTGATGAAATTACAGATATAACTGGATTAAATCTTGACGTAAACATCGAAATAGAGATGAATCGAGGCCGCCAAACAGAAACCACAGATGTTCAAGAACCAGAAATACCAGAAAACGATAATATTCCGCAGAATCAGGAAAATCAGGAAAATAATACAACAAATTTGAACGAAGAAGAGGAATATGAGGAAGAGGAAGATCAAGTAGGTGTTATTAATATGAATAATGCAGGAACTGTTCAAGATTTTAATAAATTAAACTCACAATTGAAAGAATCAGTAATAATCTTGGTTAGTTTATCTGTAATATCAGGATTAATGCTCAAATTCCAAAATAATAGGATGAAACACATTACTTACATGCTTTTACAGTTCTATTTCGCTCCATTTTTGCAAGCTCACAAAATTTTCTTGATGTTCTATCACGATAAAGTGTTTTACTTGTGGAGACATGTTTTCTTAGATCTCCTGCTCTCCATAATCACTCATTTTGCTTCTGGAGCTACAATTAACTTTTTCTTGATTTTCCCTGTCTTTTTCAGCCCAATTATGCCAAATATAAGCATAAATAAGGCAGAATTAGATAAATTAGTCAACAATCAGAACAATCAATAGAATTTATTATTTATATTTTTGTTATTTTTTATAAAAGTTTCATAGACATAAAATTTACAAAGATTTTTATTTAAAGACTATACTGTTTCTCTTGTTAACTCAAATACATACAATTTCCTTTTTTATATTCTTAATTATCATACTTTTTGTTCAGATCACACTTCCAGATCACAATCATATTATATATCTATCTCCATATATTTTATAGTTGGAATACATGAAATTATATATTTCAGCTATTTTTTACCATAGACGGAAATACTTCATAATATCAGAAAATGCTTCACAATATCGATTTCTATGAATACAAAGCTTAAGATTGAAAGATAAATTACCAGAAATTTTTAATTGAATTTTTGAAAAGCCTCAAATTTTGACAAAATTTCGACTAACCGTCGAATTTATAGAAAGAAATATCCCTTTATAGATGTAGAATATGTTTTTAAGTTTTTTAATTATGAAAAGTGGAAGTTGCTCAGAAAAATTAATTTATTGAAATTTAATTTGAAAAGATTTTTATCAATTAATTCATTATTTTCAAGTTGAAATATCCTGTATTTGCACAGGTACTTTGCTTCAGAAACCCAGGAGACAATGGCTATACAATGGTTGAAGTGAATAATGGAAACATCAAAATGGACACTGCAAAAAACATTACTATCGATGAATTTAGAAAAATCAGTGCAAATCTTAGAAAAAATGCTAGTGAAGTTGCCAAAGAGCGCCAATTACAAAGACAGATCAAGAACAAGAAAACTTCTCAATGCCCTGCCCAATTAAATGCTGAACAGCCTCCCTTTAATCAAGTTATTTATCCAGTTACAAACGGTCAACCTCAAGAAGGGGGTTATCCCCAAAAAATCTCAGATTCTTACCATTTTGAAAATCCTTTAAACATCTCACCACAGATCCCAGATTTTTCAAATCCAGGAGATGACTACCCTGATTTGGGATTTGATCCATTTGATTTTCCTTTGCCGTTCTAGATTTATTTTTTTTATTTATTCTTTCTGTTTGAATTTTGAATATGAAATGTATGAAATTCCTTTTATTCATGCAGCTTATAAAAAAGGCCTATATGCCGTTTCTTTTTAGAATCTTCGTAGAATTGTTTTTCATAATTTATTTTTATCTACTGTCCATCATAATTAAAATAAGTGAATCTATCATTACTAATTAGAGTTTTCTGCTAGACTAAATAATTGTGCATTCTTATGTTATCATCAAAACATATCATCTTGAATACACAAATGACAGTGATATCAGAAAACAGCACCAAGTCTGAACAATTATTATCTTTTGATCATCTACTTTTTGTTTTCTGCTATTTGATTGGCAGTTTGACCATTATAATTATTAAAATTCCTATCAATTTCAATATTTTCAATTTCATTGTCAATTATAATTGGATAATAAACTAATTTTCAATTACATCTCCATGGAGGTATGGCAGTCCCAACGGGAACCGCGGTAATTTACCGAGGTTTCCGCACACCGGTTCCTTTTTTTAGGAATTTTTTAGATTAAAAAATATGCTTTGTAAATCATTTTTTGTAAATCGGCAAAAATTTGGAAATATTCTGACGACAATAAATCTGGGAATAGTATTTTAAATACGAGAACAACCTATTTAAAAGTGTTTCGCTCGATTTTGTATAATTTCAAATTTTTGCATATAGCTTTCCGTGAATTACCGTGATTTTACCGCCACATCAATAGTTTACGACACTTTTTCCGTAAATTGAGTAGTTTACTGCACTTTTTCCGTAAAATTGAGTTACGGGAATCCGTAAGACTACCGTACCTCACTTCTAGTTGAAAATAGCATTAGTATATAATAAATAGATATATTATTCATATTTTTGATTTTGAATTACGGAAAAAGTGAGTTCAGAACTTCCAATTATTATTTGATTAATTATGTTAAAAATACTATAAGGAATTAAAATACATAATGTTGAAATTTGAATTACGGGAAAAGTGAGGGTGAAAGTAAAGTGAAAAAGTAAGATATTTTTTGTTGAAATAATCATAGTTGTACAATTTTGAAACCATATGTAAAGCTATAAATTGAATAAATTCAAAAACAAAAATTGTTTATTCTTATTAATAAATTTATATTAATCAATATTTGAACAACCCGTAATTAAAATTGAATTCCTCTTAAAATTTAATCCATACGTTAATTTTTAATTTGCTCGGCGAATGCCGAGCTTCCCTACTTCTCTTGTCATTCCTTCAAAAACTCTAATCTCATCGCACTTACAAACATCATGATTTGATGTATTGTCGAGAAATCTTAGACTTGTTTGTCATTTGATTATAGCATTTGAAAGTCATCTCGAAAATCGATTAACAAGACAATTTCCCAAACATCTACATACAAGTAGATGATGGTAAACCCATTAGAGTTGTTTTGCTATGATTCCTCCAATCTTATGATGAGAAAAATCATATCAAAACAGCTCTAATCGAACATTCTACATAGCTTAGCATCCAGCTAGTTCCAAGTAATGCGATTACAACATCAACGGCCAAAGCCTTTCAGAGTCCTTTAATCATTTCTTCTCATCTCAATGTGAAGTGGCCCCAAACGAACTACAAGCTGACGTTACAACGCATTACAACCCGGTTAATACGAGCATATACATTAGAGCTGCTTTGTTATGATCTCCCTCATCAATTGATGAGAGATCTCATTATGAAGCAGCTCCAATCGAACTAAAAACCTACATACAAACGAGTGAAAACAAACTCATTAGAGTTGTGTTGCTTTGATTTCTCTCATCAGAAGATGAGAGATACCAGAACAAAACAACTCTAATCAAACTTTCTACACAACTCAGCACAGTATCAATGCAAAGTAATGCGTCTGTATCGTTAACAAGCAAAGTTGTTTCGGGTCCTTCCATTTTGGAAGAATTCGGAACAACTTTGCGAATTGATAGTTAGTATGGGTTAGTTGGGTATGGTGGCACTGCGTTCCACCTTACCCAATACTTGTGAATTTGACACTTTACAAAACCACTAACGTATATTTTACAACACAAACGACAACACTAACTTAACCTTAAATATTTACAAAGCCGCCAACCACTTCACCTCACTAACGAACTCACTAATGAAAAAATAAACGTTCTCATAAATTTTCTTCTATATCTTCATCGTCAATGTTAACTCTATTGTAGTCATACTTGAAGTCATAAAGTTTCTCAAGTTTTGAAATGCATAGTCTTGTTAACTTACCTTCATCATCATAAGTTTTTATAAAACTACCATGACAATCTTTATACACAGTCAATGTATAGTCAACTGGTCTAGGATGAAGTGTAAAGAACATGTTATACTCAGGAAGGAAGAATAAATGTTTAAATGTATGTTTGTTATATTTTTCGATTTGTATGAGTTGCTTTTGTTCTGTCATTTATATAAAAATAAAATAAAAAATAAAATAAAAAATAAACTTAAAAATTAATGATATCACCACCCTCACACGTATGAAAACATAGCACAAAAATAATGTTTAGGTGAAGTGGTGAGATCTCACCTCTTTTTTCACCTGTTTTTTCACCCTGTTGAATTCATTGCTTTATAACTCTCTTCCTTTCTCCAACTCTTCTAACTTCTTCTTAAGTTCAGCAATGTTGTCCTCATGAAGTTTAATCTTTCTCAAAATTCCTTCTTTATCTAATGGTTGCTTTATCTTTCTAAACTGAACTCTACCATCCTTCATAGTATGAATGTAAAAACCTTCTGGAATAGTTCCTGATTTAATGTATTCTACCAAAAACTTTTGTTTCATTGCTTCAGTGACTTTAGTCGTCATTTCAATCAAATAAAAATTTTAATATTAAATAAAAATAACGTTATTTTTTCAGTAAGGAAACACAGGAGTTTTACGATTTATTTGAGGAGTAGGTTCTGGTTTAAATGTTGGAGTCGGTTTAGGAGTTGACTTTTGAACAGGAGTTTGTACTTCCATAGGTTCAGGAGTCATTGAAGGTTTTGCTTGTGAAGGTGTTGGAGTTTGTTTAACTTCAGCTACTTCAGTATTATTTACAACATTTGCTTTATTTCTTTTCAACATCATAACTGCTCCTGCTGTAGCTAGCAAACCTAGTGGGAGACCATATCTTATATAAGGACTTGACCAAATGCTATTTTTGACAGGAGCTGGTGGAACACCTAACCTTGGTGAGACTGCTCTTTGCCATTGTGCAGCTCGTAAGAAATATTCAATAGATGCTCCATAATCGTTTGGTAAAGTTTGTTTCATAGATGGTGAAGGTTCACGAGAGCTTGATGAAGAACTCATTTATAAGCTTTCAAAAATAAACGTTCATCCTTTATTCCTCACTGTCGTCCGCGGCTAAGTTATAGTCATCTAATCTTATTATGGGGATGCCATTAGCACGCACCTGAATGGCAAAGCAACAATCCCTCATAAATCCAATAAGTGGCTTTGGTACATTTTCAGTTGCTAGTTCAATAGGTCCTTTAACAGACAATTTGTATGTTATTGGAGCAGTAGATGTTTGACCTTGCTGGAAGCAAAAGTCCACTTCTGTTGGAAAACCACATAAGAAATGTGTGTTGTCATAGCTATCCCATTTATGTTCCACACTACCATCATCCACCAATGACCTCATAACATCTTCATTAAATCCTATCATATCATTGTTTGTATTGCAAGCGTTCGCAACCATTTCATAAAATACAGGTCCATATGATTTTTCAGGTTCTGCAGGTATATTTCCATAAGCTCCCATGGAAAGCGGAAGATATTTAAACTTAGGGTTCTCAAAATTAACATAATAGTTGTCTTTCTTTCTAAATAGTGCCCAAATACTTTTAACATTAATAGGCGTATAAGCTGCTGTAAATGTTGCACTTGAACTATCTGTATTCTTTGAGAATGAACCGTCCATAGGAATCCAATCCATAACTTTAACAGGAAAACATAAAGCCTCGTTTGTATAATGTTCTACAAGTTCTGTATAAATGTTAGGGTCTAAAGAGAATGACTTTGGATGAATGAAACATTCATTAAAATCCATCTTTGTTCGAAATAGTTGCTGGGTTACAGTTGTAATAGTAACTGTTCCACTAGCTTCTACTGCCTTCGTTATCATAGTGAATGGTTCATTCCATGGAACAAATTTATTTGTCGGTGGATTTGAATCTGAAGCAAATGCAATTTTAAGAGTTGGATTGAAAGCAATGATATCATTTACTGATATAGATGTGCATTGTAAGGCGTCGCTACTGAACTTTACTTTAAGCTGAATGTTTCCTGCAAAAGCTGGAATAAATCGAATAGCTTCTAATGGAAGGAATCTTCTAACAGGAATTCTTAAACGAAGCTTAAAATCAAATGATTTTCCTGCTGTAATTGGACCACTAACAATTTGTCCTGTTCTGCATGTTCCCGAATGACTCCATACATCTTCATGTCGAGTCTTTGAGAAAACATCTACTTTCTTTATTTGTTCGGTAGTTTGTGAGTTTGAAGTTATATATGCTTCTTCTCTTGCGTTGTCTTGAGAATATACGATACGACCATTTGCAAGGATTTGATATCCAGCAACTGCATAGAAAGCGTCATCGAAACCAATCCAAAATCCTGGTGGGTTTGTTTTATTGGAACCTGAACCAATTTCTTTATCTACAATAAATTGACCTTCCATTTTATACGTAATGAATGTATTGTAAAGGTCCAACATATTTTCACCAGGAGGTGAGAGATTGAATGTTACCCATGTGTTATCTTTAGCAGTTCCAGGTTGTGATGGAATCTTTGCGTCAGAATATTTTCTATTAGTGTCACCAATTTGAACTGCATTGTCTATGATATCGAAATATGAGCGAATCTGATGAATATGCTCTGCTGGAGTAAATTCGTTTAACTGTTCGTTCTGCATGTATTTACTTCGGATAAAAATATCTATTTACTTCATTATTCTCACTCTTCTTCTTGGCATTCGTGGTGGAGGTTGTTTCTTGACATTTTCAATGAACTGTACATTCTCTTTTGTCTCAACTTCTTTCACTGGCGGGTCAGGGTTCTTTGACTCGGTTTGTTTTTCAATGAAATTCACGAACTTTGCAATAAGCTCTTGGTTCGTTATTGAAAGTACATCTGGCTTCTTTTCTTCTGGTTCTATTGACTTTTCAGTTTGAATAGAAGGCTTAACATGGGCTTTGTGGACTTCACCCTTGCCATGCACCTTAATACTGTCGCTTTCTGCATTCGCTAATGGAACCTTTCTTTTTCTTACGTATATTTTACCATCTTTACTCTGACTTACGTAATAGAAAGGATGTTGTATTCCTCTTGCGTCATTTAATATAATAGACTCTCGCTCTGATTTTGACAAGCTCATTTTACATCGGTTAAAGTTTTAATTTTGTTTTTTATCTGCAGTCAAATAACTCAGACAAGCCCTACGGACAAGACCCAAGGGGTCATAGATGTTGAAGCATTGAAGAAAGAAATTCGTGAGCAAATTTTATCCGAACTGAAGGAACAAAAACAAGAACAAAAGCCAGAGAGACCAAAGAGAAAACTTAGTGAAAAACAACTTGCTGCATTAGCTGATGGAAGACAAAAGAACCCACGTTTGCTGGCGAAGAAAGCTAGAGAAGAAGCTGAAGCAAAAGCTAAAGAAGCTGAAGCAAAGAAAGAGTAAATAGTTTATTTTTATCCGAATTAAATGTATAGACAAATACCTTTATCTGTTGCGTTCAGTAGTGAAAACCCTGACGTCAAAATAAAGGGGAACAGAGTAACGTTTAAGTTTCCAACAGACTGGATTGTGAACATAAATGAAGAGAAGTACATTGGCATAACATCTATGTATATAACACGTGCTTTCAGAAAGGTTGACTTTATACTTCAAGTCGAGATAGAAAATGACGAACAGTCTTTAAGCGCCCAAAACATTCACATATACAAATACTTTAAAGACGATACAACATTGTTGCAATGTATGATTTCATTTAATGAAATGTTCGAGAAAAAGTTTAACATTGAAGTACAAACTTTACAGCCTTTACGTGAGTTTCTTGCACAACTGAAAGAAGAAGGTAGTCGGCCACAACTTATAGACTTTCATTATGAATTTAATGAAAATGAAGATGGAACTCATGACTGTCAGTTTGTTGTATTCTCACCATTCAATGAAGTCGCTAAAGAGAAAGAAAATTCTTTACGTATAAGATTTCAAATCTCTGAACCAAGTGATGATTTCAAGAATGTTTTCAATTATGATGCAATGCTTCCGAGGAAAAATGAATTTTCAAAGATTGTAACACCTGGCATTTGGGATAGAAAGCAAGCTATATTATATTCAAACTTAAGTAAGGGAGTTGAAAATGAGTTCATTGGTCATACAAGAACTACACCACTTCCTAACCCTAAATACTATAAATTAACTGGTTTCAATCGTGAGTTTTGGATAGACATGTTCTCCACTCATGACCATAACTGCCCAGTGTTCTTACCTCCAGACCATAAGGACTGTCTCTACATTGAAGCACAACTCTTAAACTCTACCATCGCAGTATTGTAAAATCTACGCTAGTTTTATTTTTATCACGAATGACCTCATTGCTGACAAAAATAAATAACCTCAGACCTTCAACTTACGAATAAAGCTTGTTTTATTTGTTATTGAGAAGTTAAACTTTTCAGCAAAGCAAGGTTGACACGACTTACATAAGTCGAATGCAATCTCTTGACCGTCATAAAGTGCTTTATATAACTTCATAACACTGAACTCAGAGTCTTTGTCAAATTTTCCTTGCGGAACCATTAAACCTTTATCTTCATCATAGAAACACTAAACAGAGTCAGGAAACATTTCATTAGCGGTTAAAGCAATAACATCTTGCTTCACGCCTTTCATTCTGCAGTGAAATGCAACTTCATTTAAATCATTCGTGAGTAAGTCTATGTAAGTCTTCTTTCCACAAAATATTGACTTGTATGCTAAACTTTGTTTTCCAGGTGTGATTTCTGCAAAGTCGCTATGAAATTGACCAAGGTTTTTACCAATGAGAACTCTTCCATAACGTTTCTCAAACTCTTCAGCTAAACGAGGGATATCTTCATTGTAGAGATGCATACTGTCCGTATCGCTATAAAAGATGTCCATTCCTAAGTCCTCAGCAGTACAGAATACTTCACACATTATTCTCTTCGACATAGACAGAATGTTAACACCAAGTGGACAGAAGTTAAAGTGTCTGCAAATGCTTTTCGTTAGCTTGAAAATAGTTTTATCTGAACCATCCAAACCTTCGAACTTCACTATATGGTTGTAGTTTCTGATGGCATATCTTATAGCATCTTTGTCATTTACTATGGTTATTTTTGACTCAATAGGAGATAGAATAGTTTTGCCATAAATACTGTTCAGAATGAGCTTTATATTTTCTTGCAAAGGATTTCCTTCTTTCTTATACTTTAACCTTAACTCAAACAACTTCTTTACTTCATCTCTTATTCTAATATCTCTGTTTCCATCGTAATAGTATCCTTGCAACACTTCACATTTGACACCTTGATATTTTATGAGGTCTTGTAATGTTATATGGTCAACATACATTAAACAGCAAGTGTTTGAACTTCTGGGAACGTTAAGTTCTGGATTTAGTTCAGGGTCACAAACTATTAAAGGAAAGTGTCTATGTATTCCAATCTCTTTATCTTAATGAGAACAAAGAAGCCAGACATAAACTTTTCACCAATGGGTTCCTTTTGGTCGTCATCGAATAAATGTCTCATGAGATACTCTGTGCTTAACATTTCTTTCTTCATAACCTTTGGAATACCTTCTAAAGTATAAAGTCTTGCTATAGCTGATGGATATAATGAAACAGCGTCGAAATCAGCAATGAGTTTCTTTTCGCTCTTTTGTTTAATGTTATCTGACAGCATACATCTTCCACCTTGAATACAGCGTGAAATAAATTCTCTTGGTTTATTTGAGAGGTCATATAAATTTCCATTCGGGAAGTACACTCTGTTCTCAAACAATTTGTTAGCAATAGAACAAATACTAACGTAGTCATATACGTTTAAATCAAACTCTTTCAATATGTCATTGCGGAACTTAACAAAACCTTCTCTTAAAATTCTTACATCTTGTTTGCAATAAAATGTGCTATACTTTTCTAAGTCGAAGTGGTTTTCATCTATTCTGCAACCTTTGATGGAATCTATGTTTTTCATGAATGTATCTGCATCCCGGATAAACTTACATGCTTCAGAAATGACACCAGTTCTGTTGTCATTTGCTAACAAAGTACTGCTGTAGTAGTTGTAAGGAAATACTTCTTTCGATCCTGTTTGTAAGTTAAACATAGCAGGAAATAGTTTAAGCTTCTTATTTATAACACTGTAAGAGTCTTTTATAATAATTGCCCTTCCTTTATATAAGCCAGTTATTTGCATTGTTCGTGAACCTTTAATGATGGGAGTTCCTTTCACTTCTGTCATGTGTCTTAAGATGAAGTTTATATCATAACTGAGGTTATGGAAATATATTAAACTCTTGTCAGGAAGTCGTTCCAAAAATTCTGTTGCACAGTTCTGACCCCAAATGCTTTCACTCACTGAACCATCTTCACTGTCATAACAGATGTTAAAAGCTTTATGAAAGCCGTCTGTGCTACACTCAAAGTCAGCAAAGAAAACGTGCTCAGGAATGAACTTGCACTTATTTTTATTTACTTCTTTTGACTCGGCTTTCTTCTTCAGTTGTACACAATACTTTGGAGCATATGACAAGTCTTTAAATGGTGCAAGGTTCTGTTTATATAAGTCAGTAGTATATGTGAAAAGTTCTCCATAAGAAATAGGTTCGAAATATTTGCACCCCCACAATGTTTTCATAACATCCCATAACGGTGTTGTTCTATCATAACGAACTACATATTTGTTCTCTCTCTTTGTATAAATCTTCATCTGTTTCTCAATGTTCATTCCACCACAAGCTTTGAGAATTTCTATATAGTTGCGAATGAAATATGTTGTCATTGGTAATCTTTCATTTAGCATGTAGTGGTCTTCAACAAGAAGTAAGTCAATAGTTCGAACAGTTTTACATTCTTTTGGTATGTATCTCTTTATTTCATTATGTCTTGAGTCATTGAAGTAACCAATGGTAACATTAAATGCTATACCTGTTGCATCAGAAATTTCTTGTACTTTACTTTGAGGAAAGTCTCTAACACGAATGACTTCTCTCATGTGGTCAATAGTTTCTTCATTTACTCCAGCCTGAATGCAAGCATAAACGAAACAATTGTCTTCTGTCATAAGTGCTGCAGTTCTTTTGTTAAGTTCATTGAAGATTTGGTAGCGCTCAAGATTTATAGGTAATGTGCAAAGATACTTCCAGAACTGACCGCTTCTCTTCTTATAAAACTTCTTTTCACCATTATCTTTCCAAAAGCTTTCTATAAGTGCTGGGTTTCCTGTTTGCTTAAGAGCTTCCAAAATGGCTTTCTGGTCATTTGTCAGTGTGCTTTCATCTCTATATGGTCTCTTTTTTGGTTTGCCTTTCTTTACATCTGACATCGTTAAGCCTTCATATTCTGTTAAATCATACATCTTTATTTCGGTAAGATTCTTTATGTTTGTCAAGAAGAAGTCATAGTGCATTTCAACAATACCTGCAGCATTTGCTTCTATCTCTGATATAAAGTTCTCCTTCAAGAGCTGATGTAGTAATGTTCCAATATTATTGAGGTTTAACGTAGAACATTCATACTTTCCACCAAGTTTATAACATACCATCCATCTCTGTTGGGAGTTTATTTTAATCTTCTCTAAGAGTCTCATGAAAACCTTACCGAAATGTTTGTGTAAGTAGTCTCTGTTTGGTTCATCTAAAGCTTCGATGTTAAAGTCAATGAGTCTATTGCCTGACTTCACATTTCTCTTCCTATTCTCTTCATCTTTCTTTAACCATCTCTCACCTTCTTTTGGTTTGTCGTCAATGGAACGAATGACATCGTTAGCTTTGCGAACTTGTTCTATAGCGCTCTTAAACATCTCTCTTCTCTGTTGTTTCAGTGTGTCGTCTCTTCTTCTTGTTTCACCAACGTTTGCATTTGTTATGTCAAACATTTCTCTTCTTACTTCATGAGGTACTGAACGTCTATGATATAAGTCAATAGCAACGTCATTTAAAGGAAATGCTCTTGCATGGACTTCGTCCTCGCCGCGTTGCGGCTTTATGAACTCACGAATTCTATCATAACTTATTGCACCATTATAGTCTTTAATGAAGTCAGCGAGTGCTTTTTTGTTTGTTGCGTAATGTTTTGCAACATCTATGTTAGCTTCTGTAAGAAGTTGTTTTATTTCCAGTGTTCTAACTTAGACAACTTCCGATACATCTTTAGTAGGAAATAAAAAAAATATTTTTTGAAAAAATTAGATTAGAATTTTTAAGTTATTTTTCAAAATAATTTAATATTTTTATTTTAATGAAACACATGCAAAGATTGCAAGTTCTTTTCATACAATGCTCTCGCTACTGCCATCAAGAATGAGTTCAATAATGCTTCAAATGTTAATGTTATCTTTTAACAAGAAGTTTGTGAAAGAATCTAAGTTTGGTCAGTATGTCAGACCATTAGCTATCGTCATTGACCGCAACGTTATACTTCACAAGAGTTAGCAGTAGTTTTTGAAACAAAAGAGTTTCTTCGTGAAGTCAAAGATACTCATTATTACTGTTATAAAGAACTCTAATATTGACTTCTTCAGTATATGCTTTAAATCTTTCCGAACAGAAAGAATATAAGAAGGGTGAAAACATCTGTGAAATATTATCCTTCATCTCTGAAGACAATAACTAACAAAGATGTTATACAGAAATTCTTACCAAAGGTTGAAGAAGCTTCTATTGACATTGACGAAGGAAGTGAAATGGTTGAAGAAATAGACCCTGAAGCTATTTAAGCAAAAATATATTTTTGGTTAGTCTTCATATCGATATTTTACAACAATTCCCCAATGTATAAACTTTTCATACGCTTTTTCATAAGCTTTATATACCTTCAGAAATTTTGCATAATCTTAGAAGCATTTAGATATTGTTAAATGCTTTGTATGTCTTCAGAAATTTTGCATAATCTTTTACATGTTGTTTCGTTTCTTCTTCTGTCATGAGTTCCGATATTCTAAATTCATGTTCTTTCATATGAGATAAAATTTTATAAAAAAATAAAATTAGCTTAGATTTTTTTATTCTTCCTCTTTGAAGTTATCGAAATATTCTGTTATTTTTTCCTTCAGTAATGTTAAGTCTTCTTTGAATGTAAGTATTGTGCAACCTTTGATGTCATAGTGTGTTTGAGGAAGAGTATTTTTTGAAATTTCCTTTATTTGCTCATTCGGTGTCATTGAAATCGGTAAGTTTTCACGATAGAACCAGTTTCTGTCAGATTTATATATTTTAGCTAAGTCATAAAAGCTCTTGTTGTTTTCTTCTGACTAAATGCAACATAACCATATCTTTTCTTCTTCTTTCTCCAACTCTTCAGTATAAATCATATACTTATAACTCTTTTCCTTTCCTTTTGGTACTGAACGCGGTATTCTTTTCTGTATGCTTTTGTCTTTGATTCAATGACTTCATCTTTTGCATGAAGTTTCTTTTCCATCTCTCCACGTTCTGCTTTATATAGTTCATCTAACATCATGAAAATATAACAAGCATAACGAGGTGAAGCCCACATTGCTACAGCATTTACTAAAAGTCTATGAACATAATAACCTTTCAAACCAGGAGCCAAATTCTTGCGATTTTCGTACGGAATCTCTTCTCTCGGTTTTCCGAGGGAAGCAATCATATGAGGAAATTCTTCTAAAAGTTCTTTTGTCTGTTGGTTTTCAAACCAATGATATGCTTGCTTTGTAGAACGAAGAGCATTCATTATACTTTGCATTTGGTACATGTCATCTTTGACCGAACGAATGAGTCTCAATTGTTTGTTATACTGTATGTACTCGTATTCTTCATTTATAGCTTCATGGACTATAACAGTTGTTGTGTTCTCTGATGTTGTCATTACTGTCTTTACATACAAAATAAAAAAATAAATAAAAATAAAATTAGCGTTATTTTTTCTGAGATAAACACTATTTCTTCACAACATTAAATTTTATCCTGTATGAAATGACTTTAAA